CTGTCCTTGTGTCATCCTTCGGTTTCCACTACGGATTATACTCTGAATTTCTTTACGCAGGCCGATCGTCCCGGGAGAGATGCGTGAGCGACGCGTGCAACCTCACCGCAAGTACATATATAATACGCGCGGGACGTCGTATATCTCCTTACGGCTGCGGCAGGCGGCTGCCGTTATGTTCCGATTGCAGCAGTGATGGAGCGATAGGCAGACGCTTACGAAGCAAGTCCGGTGAATCAATTTAACTGCTAGCTAACCGTAAACTCATTACAGAAAATGATCATCGGTTTAATTGCTCGTCATTGTCGTAATAACTCGGGGCGTGTTAGGATCCAGTCATTAAAAGACAAACACAATTCGCGACACACCCTCGGTCATCTTCATAATACCCTTAATCCCTTAAACAATTAATAGACGTTAAAAGAAACAAAGAATAATTTAATTAAAACGAAATTTAAGTGGATCTTCAGGAATAATTATAGGAAACTGGGACATTATTGAGGACAGTTTACTTCTATAAGAGAAGCGATAATAATACATTATATATTTAAAGTATGTCAGCTTGAATTCTCACAATATATTTAACACTGGATATGAATAACGTGACTCTCCCTTCAATATTTAATGTGATTTTTATATGAGATGTAGACACTGATCTCGCATTTAGCGCGGAATGAAGACGCTAGATAAAGGTGAAAATACGGGAGCCTCGTTGTTTGCACGAAATCTTTATGGATGCGAAAAGTGAATGCAGAGTGCATGTTCATTTCACAGTTTCTACGTTCCAGATAAGCGCGGCACAAAGCGACGTAAAGCCTCGGTTAAAGGCCGTAACACGGCGCACGGTCACAGGCAGCAACCTTTTCGCCGTGATCTTGAAATTAACTAATTCAACCCACTTCCCAGCTTGGCGCTCGTTAAAACGCGCGAGAAACTGTCTCCTCGCTTTCATGTAAAATCGCGAGAAAATGAAGGCGCGCACGATGACGAACAATGGGCCGTACACCTGCGACGAGAAACGCAGGTCGTTCGAGAGTTCGTGCGACGTACAACGGAGTGTATGCCCCCTTCCACCCCCTCCGAAAGAAAAGAATAATAAATGATAACATCTCTTTCTCTCTCTCTCTCTCTCCGAACATAAAATGGAAAGTTTCGGCGCGTCTTATACTAAAACCTTGCAAATAAGTTTTAGAAATGTAAGGACTACCTATTAATAATAAATGCGCCTCCTTTAATTATTAAGCTTGACCATATCTAAGTTCCACATTAATTTCGTATGATTATAAAGCAGAGCACGGAAGTCAAAAAAATCGTCAAGCATTGTGCTATTATGGCATAGAATTTCAATTGCATAATGTTTAGTTGTATAATGATTACGTATTCGCTGTATTTACACGCCGCTGGTATTTCATAAAATCACACAGGATTGAACATATATATACGTATTGGCTCACGTTTCGATGCCGTTTTACGTCGAGAGATTTTAGATTAAGCGCTACAATTAACGACGAACTAGCGCGTTGACGCTCGTTACGCGCCGGTGTAAAAAAAAAATACGACGTTGCAGGACGTGAAGACATCGAAAGCTACGATTTCACTGTGTGATCTCGAAGTAGTGTCGCATACACCACGGCAGATTCTCTCAGGAAGTAACTTCGATGGAAAATGTTCTCCGAGCGATCTTCCCTCGTGATTTCCATCTGCCACTTTCCAACGAGAAGTCCAATTCACGCGCTTCTGGTCTAAAATTCGCGATCGAAAGGACGATATAAAACATAATAAATACAATGGCGCGTTCAGAGGAGTTAATTCAACGAGATTGTGCATCAAGCGAAACTGTTCCCGCCAATCTCGCGTGCTAATAAGCGCGAACGAAGGTTGACCGAACAATGGGAAGATTATATCTATTAGAATTCTTCCAAAGCTTGTGCATACACGTGTCCCTCGCACGTTTTCGATAAAGGCTAATAACACCCTCAATAAAGCTATTCACTTTATACGCCACTTTATGAATAAAGTATGCGCATAGTTTTAATACGGCGATGCAACCGCGAAATGTCACGAGCCCGCCGATCGATTATGCTTAGCGAACCGTATTGACCAAATGGCTGCGGTTAACATCTCTTTGATCTCACGATTGACTTGTAAAAGACCGAGTCTTTTTATTCAGCGCCCTGATTTAAATGTCCCCGTTGAATATCGATGTCCCTCATTTTTAGAAAGACTTTAGCTCTGCTGAAGTCAAAATAATTTCGCTGAATTAAAATTACCTCCGCAAATGATTCAATAATGAAGGAAATCGAGTTTGTCAGATAATTGTGTTACAAACAATATTACATATATATGTATAAACTTAAAATTAACTATTAAAATATTTCAATGTAAACCAATTTGCAATAAATAGCTGAGATAAATTTCCAATAAATAGCTAAAATGTATATTTATCTTGCAACTAAATATAAAATATTAAACGAAATATTTTCAACGAGCTATCGCGGTATCGCGTCACGCCGGCGGGATAATTCTTTTTGACACACGATACGCCAGGGTCGTCTTTTCTTTTCAGGCATGACATCCGCGATCAATCTCCCTGACCAATATAATTATTCTCGAATACAGAAAGTCCACAAAGAGTCTGCGCCCGAACGTTTTACAATACGACGACACGGCACTTGAAAAAATTCGCTACGCGAAGGACGACGTTGCCCGACCTTGATAAACGCCACGGATCTCTTCCGATGAGTCATTGCCGTGGTCAGACGGTCCGAAATGAGCGCCGCGTATTCGCCGGCCGTTCGCGGGGATCTCCGCGGTCGGCTAATCGCGATGGCAATCCTTCTTCGAAGCTCGAATGAACTCTTTTTCAAGACGAATCCGCAGGCAGCCTCGATTGAACGCTGACTCAAACGACGCGTTCGCGGGAAAAACAATTGCGTACGTCGTGAATGAACGGCACTTTAAAAATATCTTTCCGTCATAGATCTCATCGGATGTGCGACCAATATATGCGTCACACGTCGCACGAAACGTCACGGTTCGCACTTGAAGAATAATGCCGTCACAGTCCGAGAAAATAATGACGACATTGCGGTGGATCGTAATTGATTATGACATTACGTGGAGAAGCGCGGTCTCGCGCGTTCTCCAAATTTGGCCGTGTGAAAGGATTAATCGTATTTGGACGCGGGATCGAGGGTAAATAGATTATCGACGGTCGTGCAAGGCGAATCAATTCGACTCGGCTTGCTGAATATGGAGAATACGGCATTATCTCAAGCAGCATGATAATAGTACAATCTCTTTTCTCCTTCGTTTATACATATTATATATTAATTATTATATATATAGTAATATATGTATATCGAAAGCATACGATGGTTAAGCGCGATACTTTTACGGTTAATATGAAATCAGTCTTGCACCGATCAGTCCGAAACTTTCGCGATCGACAAGCGGCCTGAACTTTCATGCGCGCGTGACTAGCATGAGCTAATTCGATTCTTTATATGCAAAAACGGACTCGTATCTTTATCATACAATATCCCCCGCGATCCCGATATGAAATATCCAGTAGGATTTCTTTCGCTGGCAATTGCGGAAGGTGGCCATACTTTTATGCGCGAGCGACGAGTACCAGTCATTGTAAGAAGTTAAACGAATTTTCTGAATTGACAAACGCGGAATTGGTATGGAAATAAAATCGCTCCGGCAAAAGAGAGAGAAATTTTATGTAATTTTTCGAGATTTATTAATTAACGAGTCGCTAAAATGTGATGTTTCGGTAGACATTTTATTTGTAATAATAAATATTATTACAAATAAATTTTATTTGTAATAATTTTATTTGTCCTGCCGCTTATTGGCGGTTAGCTATAATCGTTCTAACTAGGATAATAGGTGCCAGCATGAAAATGTTATGTGTAACTAATTCGATATCGGGACGTTGTTGAACTATCCATCCGCGGCAATTGATATGCGATCGACGTAATTCACGTTCACGCAAGGTGATTACTTATAAGCGACACCATTACTCACGGATTCGTCCTATCTGTTTCCACACGCTCATTAATAGCTTCGGGACAAGGTGTAGACACGATACTCTGTACTGGACATTAAAGCGCATTAGACACGGATAAAATAATATGCGACTACAAAGTCGCTTTGTACTTATTGCATTCAATGCGGCACTGATATATATCTGCAAATTACTTTCTATTAATGGACCGTGACTTCTCCGGTGAAAGCCGAGAAAGTTCTTATTTCAATTTTGCTCTTATCAAACACACGACCGTCTATCAGATAATCATTACGTAATATATAAATTAGAAAAACATATATAATATATACAAATTAGAAAATATGGCATATGCGGGACATTAAACGATGACGTAATATGAATGACATTTTGTTTACTGTCCCACGCAAACAATATTTTTTGCTGTTCCACAAGCAATATTTCGCGCTTTATTGTTCGAGATTAAGGAATTTATTAAGAATGAAGAGCCAAAAAGGAGATGAAATTCTTGGCGTGCCAAGGCTCGGCGGCTCAAGTTTTTTTTTTTGCGCGCGGACAGTGTCATCCGGTAAGGAGTATCGGTTTTCCCAGTTCCATTTCCATCTCAGACAGACACACACGATTGCCATCGCTCGCTTAGAGACAAGTAAAGGATCGTTATGTCCGTCTGGGCCACTCGTCAAAATAACATAAAGCGCCTAGAGCTGCTTAAAAGCGGGGACCTTGATTTTTACAAGCGCAGTGCGCGCGATAAATTGCCTTACGCATGTTTATAGCTTGGATGATCGTTCAAAAATAAATATTCAAACGCATCTCGGAAAGATCTTTTCCTGATAGCGAATAATGACGACAAGTTTATTGTTTAACTTTATTTCTGTCTGTCTTATCTCTTTTATATTTTAACGCTGTATATCTATATGCAATTATGTATGTACAATTACATTCGAAAGAACACGAATATTAAAAGATCAAAGTATAAGGATCTGCAAATGCTTGAATGATGATGTCAAGTTTTATTGGTAACAATAGGCCAATGATATAAACGCTATTCATTCATCATTAAAGCATGATGATCTTGGGTCATCGGAACGCGATGTATTGCGTCGCAATGAAATCAATAGACTCTAATTGATTTCGCAGTGCGAAACGCAATTCGGAGGACCTCCGGTGCGTAGGCGACGGAAGTACTTTTCCCGCAGTTGTGCCCGTTGATTCGGACAGGTGAGTCTTAGAGAGAAGGGAAGGAAGAAAGAAAGAGAGAGGTAGAGAGGGAGGGAGGCCAGAGAGGACCACTGCGAAAAAGGGAGGGTGTGCGAGGTGTGCGAACGGGACAGGACGATACCTTCGGCCGACAGTCGCGTAGGAGCGACCGGCGCGACATTGCACACGCGGCGTTCCCTTCCTCCGCGGCGTGTGACACACGGGCGCAACGTGGTGGTAAAACAACGTGTGGTGAGGTGCACGCGAGGTGCCCCGAATGCGCGGATATCGCACGCGGTGTTCGCGGGGCGTCGTGAGTCCGCGCGCCGACGAGTCGCAAAAGTCGCATCGCATCGCGTCGCGTCGCATCGGCGGGACCACAGAGTGGGACGGGACACACTCTGGCGCAGGGCCAGTAGAGGATCCACCGATATAAAGATCACCGGTCACGCGGCGCAGGAGGCTACTCGCTCGTGCATCGTCGTCCCAAGTGCAGTGGTTGCATCTCGCGATACGCGTACACGGTGTGCTATGGGAGGAGGGGCACGCTGAGAGGCGAGTCCCCCGTCCGCGCTGTTGAGATTTCCTCCGTGCGCCCGTGTTGTAGATGAACCTGTCCGAGTGCGATACATGCGCCTGAAGCGCATCAGCCGCATCTATCTTGTTTTGGAGCGCGTCGAGGAAGATCGATATCGAGCCCGAGGACGCCGATACACGGCGAATTATAAACGATCGTGAGTGCATTTGCATAATTATCGCGGGGAGAGAGAGCCTTTCATTGCGCGACCGTGGAATGTTTATAGTTTCAAGCACTTAGCGCACCACGTGCTGTAGGAGTTCATATAGTAATTATCTAGTCTTACGCAGCTACACGTGACAGATGAAAAACTACTCGTGCCCGGTGATCTCGGAATTTATTTCCTCACGTGACATAATTCTATTTCACATATTTCAAAATGTGTGCGTATACTTCCGATTTCTTTCCGTTTAAAAAATAAAATTGTGACGCTATAATATATTAGAGAAAGAAGACAGAAGAACTTCGCGAAGTCTTGAGGCAGGCATCTAAAAACATGCTTGACAGCAAAAATCACACTGAGAAAAAAAAGTTGTTAAAATAACTAAATGCGTTTTGTTGACAGTTTTTCTTTGATTCAATTATATATGTTTTTAAATTAAACATACATCATTAACATGATATTTTTATGAATTAACAAGTATTTTGTTGAATTAACAAATGTTTGCTTGACAGCACGGCTTGACAGCCGTGACCGCCGCATTTAGTTGAATGAAATAATATTTTTTTAAATCAACATTTTTTTTTTTCGTGTAGAATAGGAAAAAATAGCAATTATACGTACAACTGCAACGTGTGCGGTTGTAGCTAACGATAACCTAGTAAATCTGTGTAGATGGAAATTTTCTAGATCACTGCAGACTTTTGCTCCGATTACGCGACGTCCTCAATCATTCATCGTTGACCCGTGTATCAGCATCCATTCGTCTTGATATAGCGTATCCGTGCTATTTATCTGACCGACGTAAAGGTTTAAGAGGTCTTCCGAGAAACATTAATTATAACGCGTATGTACGGTCATCAGGCGGCCAGGATGTCGCTCATTATTGCATATCCATCGCTGCCCGTAATAGCGGGGAGAAACAGTCGTTATAGTTCTCGAAAGTGTTAGAAGCGTGTTGTTTCTATTAAATATTTTAAACACAATTCGAGAGAAACTCATGTGTAATTAATATGTAACCGATATAAGTAGAATGTCTAAATATTCCTCTAAATTTACGTTACGCAGAATTAGCGAAGACGTGAAGTTTTCCTCTACGAGAGCCACTTTCGAAAACTCTGTTTCCTGTGAAGGATCGCCGGCGGTCTCGCCGACTACGGAATTACATTGTTAAATGAGCCTGAAATACAGGCATGATGTAGTAGAAGGTGCTGTTAATGGTTCCCGCGCGGTATATACTCGCGCATTTCGCTCGGGGCTCTCGGTGTATCCGGTCAATCGCGCGCGCGTTTTTCGCGAAAGTTAGAACTTCCGGCCGTCGTCGTCGTGGCGACGGATGCGTTTATAACGCGCTTAATTAGCGCTCGTCGTTTTATCAATTATAATCTATGATCGCGAACGACTTGTCGGCCAATTGGCGGCCGATCACTTTCACTTTGATATAATTCTGTCCTCGAAAAACACATTCAGACGGCAAAGCGGCGAAGTTAAATTCAGATCGCGTCGGCAAATTCACTTTTCTTTTTCTCCGGCTAAAAGCTACATGCAGCGCAACGAAATCGAGTGTTTTGAGGAAATTCATCGCGCACGGTCAAAGATCAAATTGTTAGCTCCGAGCTCTCAATGTATACCGATGTTACGTTTCTGGAGCTCCCTCGAGACAAGAAAAGGGAAAGAGACAGTAATTCGGTGAATAAACGGCCATTGGCAATCGTGACGTGATCGTTTTATGATATCCACTGTTAAGAGCGGGCGGAATATCATCGTACACTCACGAGGACATTATATAATTCCGTTTTGCGAATAAGCAAATCAGGCGGGGCAAAGACGAAAATAGTTCGTGATACGGACAATGAAATTTAAGACTATTCTTTTTTTTTTTAATATCAAGACAAGGTAAACATTAGTCGTGGAGATCGATTGTGCGCCGTGTACAGCGGATTGAACGGTATTTCTAGCGCCGCTAAAGCGCGACCGCTTATCAAGTTATGCAAGTCGCGCACGAAGTCGCCCGGGTAAAATAAAATAGTAGCCGTAGCACAGAGAAAGTCGAGCGTCGTGTGTTTAGCGAGATCAGTAATAGTATATCTTTCCGATTCTTCACTGGAAATACGGTATTGAGTCGTACGACACGGGGCGTACGTAAGTGTATCGCATTACGTGCGCAGTAAGTAACCCGGCATTTGTTACGGAATAATATGAAAGCCAATGATTAGAGCGCTGTTGGGAGAAAGGAGAGGAATATTGTATCAATACAATACTCGATGTGACGTCTTTTTTCATGGGATCTATACAAATAAACGCTATAAACGTTATAAATAAATGAGATATCGCGTCAGCAGCTGCAAAGGAAATACAGCTTCCGCGTTAATTGTCAAAAGCGAGAAGATTAAAGGAGAGCGTGTTTGAATAAAAAAATATATATCTCACGCGACATGTGTATCTTCCTTTGTCGCGAATGCATTTCGATCGCGAACCTTCGCGACGGACGAACGACAACAACGCGACGGCCAGTAGCAGGGTCATCAATGGAGCCTTGGGCCACGACCTTGCGCGCTGGCCAGCTTCCCCTCTCGCCAAGCACTGATCGTCCTTAATTGTAGGTGCAACGGCGACGTCGAACTCGCAGCGGACGCGAGGGACCGACGTAAGCATGGGAATGTGCACGCGTGCAAAATAATGGTGCAACGGTGGAATGCGGATAAAAATGAAGACTTGCCCCGAGGGGGGCGATTAATTGCCGGGACAAGACCAGCTGCTGCGTGCTCGTCTCGGGATGCCCGGATTGTGATTCACCGCAATGTAGGATAAACCTGTTCGCTTCGTTTTGAAATCCAGCGGTGGGATTAGACGTGTGTGCGCGATTAGAGCGCGGGAACGAGTTCATTAGTATGAGAGAGGACAATCGGCAGGAATCCAACAACGGGTGACAAACGGCGAATTCCGACGGCCGTGTCTCATCGCTCCGGCTGCAGCGTTTTGCAAACGCGATAGAGCCGTGAATCGCGCGCGTCCTTCGCGCGTTAATCGAACGACAGCTCGTTAAGAACTCGCCCGATTAAGAGCGACCGTTCAAATGTGGAGTTTTTTATCACCGGTGAGATATATGTACACCTGAATTATAATTTCGAATAAAATGGAGATGGTAAGATAAATAAGCCTGAATTATAACTTCGAGTAAAAGGAGTTTTACGGCCTGACGCATGTAGTATTTTTTTGAAAGTGAATTAATTTAAGAGCGTTTAAAAACTTATATTTTTTTTTACTTCCAATCATAAATTCTTGATATTTCATTCACATGTAGAGATTGCGAGGTTCTTGAAGCGGCTACTTTCGAAAGCGTGCGGTTAGTTTGCATCTCAAAGTGAGTACACTCGGGAGTGTTGCAAGATTTACGGTTCTTATCTATCGTGAAGGTGAACGGTCGAACCAGTGCGAGCTGAAAACGCGCGAGCTAACTTCGCTGATGAGATTAGCGGAGATGTATTTATCGTACAAATTATTGCGCCACGAAGGTCTGCGGCCGTTCGCCGAGCTTTACCACGCGGTTTGACCTGTTTCCACGGATTTTTCGCCGATCGAGTTCGGTCGCCTGTTGCCTCGAGACGTTGAAGGCCGACTATGCGAAAGGACTCTGCGTAGGAGAAGAATATTACGGTCAAAAATTAGGAACACAATAGGATATTGACGGATTCCTAATAATCTTGAGACTCGATCACGTAATTTTCTCTTAAAAGTGCAAAAACTAAAAAACAGGAATTTTCGTACGAAAGTCGTACAAGTTACAGCTAATATTTTTACCTCACGTAATTTCCTGTAATGCGAGATGAAATTTTTTATATGATTATGTGATTTCTAAAATTCAAATACAACTCAAAAAGCATGTTTGACAGAGCAAAAGTTGCTTATGTATTCCATCATTCGTGAGATTGTTGCAACGTGAGAAATCAATATATATAAGATCTATACGGAAAGAATTTTTTTTAAATTTACCCTGCAGCAAATCATGTTAATTGTGAGACAATATAGTATTTATGCAAATTTTACTGTGTAGTACAATAAATTTTACTGTAAAATCTTATTGTAGTGCACAATAAAATTTGCCCAAATATTATATTGTCCCACAATTAACATGATTTGCAGGGTAAATTTAAAAAAAAAAAAATTCTCTCCGTGTACATAATCTCCGTATTTAAATCTACGAAATTTCTAACAACGGTAAAGCACCCGATATTCGTCATTCTGTTTGCACTTTCTGTTGATAAACGGAAACGGGACTTATTTGCGACGTGAGACACAGTTGTCGATTCAGAAAAGTACCGTTTCTCCGTACCCGAAAGAAAAAAAATTTCGCTCGCGTGTGCACGCCGTTAGGATTATATGCGCGAACTGCGAGCGAGTCATCTCAAGAGCGAGTTTACCGCGAGATGCGATTGATGCCGTAACTCGCCGTGAGAGAGGTGCCCCGGGATGAACGAGACGAGCGCCGATTATGCAAGCGCGGCGCGGGCTGCCTCGGCGGAGCAAGCCGGTCAATGCCAAGGTGTTCCACTTCGAGTGCTACTCTTCCCTGTCGTTCCGAGACGGCGGCGGCGCCGATCTCGTCGTGCTGATTTCTTCGTGAGCCACCGGGGGTCCCGGGGATTCACCTCGGAGACGTGGACTGCGCGCGATGAACTGTCGTACGACCACTACGTGCTACGTGACACAGCGAATTCATAGACCGGACGCGTTTCGCTGAGATGGGTTAATCCCCGCGTATGAGTGGACAGAAGATTAAGTTAGCAACGCGAGGACGGCATACAAATGTACGTGCGGAAGACTGTCAGACGTATAAATGAGCCTGCCGAAATTATCAAATTGTATTTTGCTAAAAATGCAATTTGATAATTTTTACACAAAAAGAACGATTTTGCTGAAAGGTCTAGAAATTTTGCTGGATACAGAAAATAATTCTTGTCGGATCGAAATAATTTTGTTGGAAAGTCAAACTGATT